CACGGATTACTTCACTAAGTGGGTGGAAGCAGAACCATATCCAAGCGTGACTCAGACTCATGTGAGACGATTTATCTGGAGCCATATTATCTGCCGTTTCGGCGTTCCAAGGTCAATAATCATGGATAATGGCACGAACCTCGACAGCAAGCAAGTAAGAGAGCTGCTGGAGGAGTATGGAATTAATCAGAAGTTAGCTGCAGTAAGTCATCCCCAGGCCAATGGACAAGCAGAAATTACAAACAGAACAATTTTCGCCTGCATTAAGAAGAAGCTGGAGGACCATAAAGGGAAGTGGTTGGATGAGCTCCCGAACGTCCTATGGGCTTACAAAACCACTCCAAGGCGGCCGACTGGGGAGAGCCCGTTTGCAATGGCGTATGGTACCGAGGCGGTTATACCGGTTGAGCACTTGGTCCCAACTATCAGAAGCTTAGCATGGAGTCGAAATCAGAACGACAGAATGTTAAGATTGAACCTCGATATGATAGACGAAAAGAGGGACGCTGCAGCAATAAGGTTAGCATCATACCAACAAGTATTGGCGAATAGTCACAACAAAAGAGTGAAACACAGAGATTTTGCCCCTGGCGATCTGGTTCTGAAAAGAAAGGTGGGGATAGTCAAAAAAATGATGCTACCCTGGGAAGGCCCATACAGAATTGCAGAAGTCATAGGGAAGGGGGCATATACATTAGAGACCATGGCGTGAAGGTTGGTCAGCAAGCCCTGGAATGCTACGTCTCTGAAGAGGTACTATCAATAAAAGCTAAGTTTCAGTTTTATTGGATGTTGTTTGTTTTCAATCAAGTACGTATGAATGTGCAAATTCCTGAGATTTATAAAAATAGCTTTCCTTTTCAAAGGGTTTTAAAAAATGAAAAGCCAAGTGGCAAGTGGCATTCTAGCTGAGCGCCAGGCACTTAAACAAGATAAGTGGCAGCTGGCACCATAAGCCGAACGCCAGACACTTGCTAAAAAATGAAAAGCCAAGTGGCAAGTGGCATTCTAGCCGAGCGCCAGGCACTTAAGCAAGATAAGTGGCAGCTGGCACCATAAGCCGAACGCCAGGCACTTGCTAAAAAATGAAAAACCAAGTGGCAAGTGGCATTCTAGCCGAGCGCCAGGCACTTAAGCAAGATAAGTGGCAGCTGGCACCATAAGCCGAACGCCAGACACTTGCTAAAAAATGAAAAGCCAAGTGGCAAGTGGCATTTTAGCCGAGCGCCAAGCACTTAAGCAGGATAAGTGGCAGCTGGCAACATAAGCCGAATGCCAGACACTTGCTAAAAAATGAAAAGCCAAGTGGCAAGTGGCACTCTAGCCGAGCGCCAGGCACTTAAGCAAGATAAGTGGCAGCTGGCACCATAAGCCGAACGCTAAGCACTTGCTAAAAAATGAAAAGCCAAGTGGCAAGTGGCATTCTAGCCGAGCGCCAGGCACTTAAGCAAGATAAGTGGCAGCTGGCACCATAAACCGAACGCCAGACACTTGCTAAAAAATGAAAAGCCAAGTGGCAAGTGGCATTCTAGCCGAGCGCCAGGCACTTAAGCAAGATAAGTGGCAGCTGGCACCATAAGCCGAACGCCAGGCACTTGCTAAAAAATGAAAAGCCAAGTGGCAGGTGGCATTCTAGCCGAGCGCCAGGCACTTAAGCAAGATAAGTGGCAGCTGGCACCATAAGCCGAACGCCAGGCACTTGCTAAAAAATGAAAAGCCAAGTGGCAGGTGGCATTCTAGCCGAGCGCCAGGCACTTAAGCAAGATAAGTGGCAGCTGGCACCATAAGCCGAACGCCAGACACTTGCTAAAAAACACGCACACGACAAAGTTAATATGAAAAAATATTGAAAGTGGGTTTGAACAGAGCGTAGCACAAAAAAAAAAAAGAGGAGAAGAAGAAAAAAAAGAAAAAAGAGTTTTATCATCTCATTCATAATAAGCATTGAGGTTACAAAAAGTGAAGCATTCAAGTCACATAACTACAAAAGAGTATGGAATCGAAGAATCTGGAAGAGCCCTAGCTAGCTGCCTCAGTACCGACAGCCTCCTGGTTGTGCTGATCCACCTCCTCGTTCCCGTCAGCCATCTCACCCTCACGAGGTGGGGAATCGAGATGAATAACAGAGTCGTTCTGCTGGGGCCCAACGTCAGCAGTGACTATGGGAGATACCACAGTTGACGAAGGAAGAGCGATTAGAGGCTGAACGGTAGGAGGAGCTGTAGTGATCCTGGAGGAAGCAATCTCCTGACATTCATCAAATATGTGCTCGGCTTCGGTAGGTTCTGGGTCAACATAGACCCCCAGAGGGTCAATCCCTAGATCCTTATCAATTTCATCCGGAGTTGAGCTGGTCTGGCCCTCAGCCGGAACTCGGTCGGAGAAACCATCTCGGAATCCCTGAGCATATCTAAGAGCTCCAACTCTTGAGAACCGAGCATGAAGAGCCAGCATTCCACCATTCACTCTGCTAATGGTATCAATCAGAGCGTTGCGCTCGTCCAAAGCTCTTTTCTCAAAAGCCATCCGAGCAGACTGCTCGTCAGCCAGAAGGCGCTGGAGCTCTGCCTTTTCATCTCTGATTGAATCACGTTCAGTCTGCCAGACACTCTTCTCAAGCTGGAGGGCATCCTTTTCATCTTGAAGAGAGTCGGTTTCCTTCTTCAGAGCATCTCTTTCTTTTTCGGTTTCTTCAAGTCGAGCCAATATCTCGGTGTTCTTGCTGGCAAGAAGGTCGTTTTCCTTATTAGCCACATCCAGGCTATCAGAGAACTTACGGGCCCTGGCGTTCCCCATTTCCACCTGTTTCTGCATAGCCATCATACCGAACAAAGTCTGCATAGATATGCATGGATACTGGTTAAACCGATCGCCTGGTCGGACGAAGGCAAGAGCAAATAGTATGAGAGGATTCATGAGTTAGAAAATAAAAGTCACCTCCATGGCAGATTGGGGAAAGCGGCTAAACACATCCTTTTGTGACAGACCCTTCGCCGCCTCAAGGTCTTTTGGAGTCCACATGCTCCTATAATACGCCATGGCGGTCTGGCCATCCTTCAACATGGACTCGTTCGGCTTCACGAACGTCCCATCTGTTCGGGTGTATCGAGGAGCCCATGGTGGTAAAACAGGAATAGAGGCAGAAGCTGAAGCAGAAGCAGAGGCACCAGCTGCAACAGGCCCGGAGGGGGCAGGAGCTCTGATTGGGCGATGCAAGAGAGCGCTCGGCCCAGAGACTCGGGTCCTTCTTGTAAGAGATTCCTCCTCAAGGTTGACTCCACCGTCAGGATGAGGTCTTTTGCCTCGTTCTTTGTCCCGAGCACCCCCAGCGGCAGCAGGGGTAGTAGTGATCTGTGGAGATGTGCTCGGGTTGGTAGCAGGGGTGCTGACAACAGGATCAATAGCCACTGTACTCGGGATGGTGTCAGAGATGGTGGCTGAAGAAGAGGCTGATGCAGGAGAGGAGGTTGCTCCAGCAGTAGAAGTGGCTGGGGGAGGATTTTTCCTCCTACCAAAGGAAGGAATCTGAAGCCTGCTCATTGTATAGCCGAGGGATGAGAGCGCTAGAAGGTTGTCTGAAGTGAGGAGGTCTGAGCAAGAAGGAATATCGTTCAGAACGTATTTCTTCAAGTAATTACTCCTATCCCTGCAAACACTGTAGCTCAAGTCATCACAAGGTATGCCTAAGGAGTGACATAAGAAAGTACAAAAGCGAGGAACACATGTTTCGCAGGGACAATCGTTTTTATGAGATTTGAATTTCTTATACGAGGAGACAGAACAGACACCAAAGGCGCTCGGGATTGGGTAATCCTCTGCAGCCGGCGAAGACCAGGCCCCACTAACACCCACAATGTTATCCCTCCAACCCTTTTCAGATTTGATTGTATCCGTACATATGGACATCTTGTCGATAGGGTAGAGGTGGTAGAATGGCTCGTCAGTTCGGATTTTACTGACCTTATAGCAAAGAAGAAGATCTATGAGGTCAAGATCCAGACCTCTGTCACGAATCAACAGTAACATAACGGATATGATTCTAAAGAAATTGGGGTTTACCTGCAGGGGGGATACCCAGTCTATTGAAAACATAGTTAAAGAAGGGATGCAGAGGGAACCTAACGACATTCAGTTGAAGGTTAGTAAATAAAACCTCGCCGGGAAGAAGGCTGACACCGGTCATAATATTAACATCCTTAGGGCAAACCCTAACTTGGATGTTGTCAGGAAGTCTAAGTCTCATACGAAGAACATCTAGATCTACAACCATGGTGGAAGCGATTGAAGGATCTAAAAGAGTAAAAAGAAGTCTGCCGAAAGTAAAAAGGAACAAGACTAACCTCTGGGGTAGAAAGCAACAAAGAGCACTGCAAGATCGCTGGAAGAATGACTCTTGAAGAATTTCACCGGATGAAATTTAGCACTCTTCTAAAAAGATGAGCGAGAGATTTGACTGATGATGGAGAGAGATGGAGACGGTAAAAAGGCATGAAGTGGCATTCTAGAGCCTTATAAAGGCGAAGTGGACCCGAGGGCCGAAGCGTCAAGGAGGCGAGAAGTTTATCGAACCCCGGAACATTGATTCCGGATCCGACCGTCCGTTCCCCCATAAGGGTTTCTCGAGCCGTCAACATCATGATGAGACGCCTTTGATAATTACCCCCTTATTAAACAAGGAGTAATTATGGGGGCAGTTGAGGAGGCCAGAAGTGACATGGGCCGGATATGACCCGCGAACATGGCATCCGGTCCGAGCAGATGGGTCAAGCCCATAGAGAAATACTGCCATATGGGCCGAACGCGAATAGCCCATCAAAGATGACCAAAACTCACAGAGGAACGAGCCCAGATCTAGCAGTCCATTAGTGTTTGTAAGTATCTATAAATATGAGAAGTAATGGATAGAGAAAGGGGGGATTCTGTTGAAGTGTAAGGGTTCTAGAGAGAGAAAGAAAAAATGAATTTCTTGCGTCTTCAGCAATCATGAACTTACTTTTTAGGGGGACATCATCATGAGCCTGCAAAGTAGATTAGCTGTCATCTGTGATGAGGCGGATGGAGAATCAGATACTATTGTTGATGGTGGCGAGGAAGCAAGCAATGAGATATCAGCTGGGAAACCTATTCCCCAACTCGACCTGCAATTGTTGAGGTGTGGTAGCTCCTCCAACATTTGTATGCTGTTGTTTTTGAATAGATTTAAATACAAGAACTTGCGTATTGTTGTTTATGTATCACATTTTCTCTATAGTTAGTTTTTCTTCAATCATAAATTAATAACATCGGACCTTTGAGCCTATGAAGCATGGACGCAGGTACAAATTCTTAAAGACGGGATAGGCTGCAATATATGTGTGTGTATAAAAACAAATAATATGTAGTTCTGTACAAATTTGAAGTAATAATGTTAACTACATATATTATGACTAACATTCATTTATAAACAGAAATGGAGGCAAGCTAGAGGTATCCTTTGTGACAAACGAATACCAAATATATTAAAAGGAAAATTCTATAGAAAGGTTATTAGGCCAGCAATATCGTACAGAGCAGAGTGTTGGGCGTTGAAAAAGACAAATACAACGCATTTATGTAGTGGAAATGAGGACGATACGTTGGATGATAGGAATCACTAAAAGAAATAAGGTAAATAATGAACATGCGAGGGGAACATTAGGTATAGCGCCTATAAATGATTGAATTAGGAAAAGTAGACTTAGGTGGTATGGTCATATTCAACGTAGACCCAATGATGCAGCTATTAAAAGAGGAAGAGTAGTTTGTTTAGAAGGTAAGCGACAAAGAGGCCGACCAAAGCTTAAGCAGGATGAAGGCTTGAATTAATTACAAACGACTTAAAAAACTTAAATTTAAGAGAAGACATGGTGCATAATAGGAAAGAATGGAAAAAGAGAATTCATGTGGCCGATCCCATTCACGTGGGATATAGGCAAGGATGAAGATGATGATGATGATTCATTTATAAAATAAAAAATAAAAACGACGGACAAGTATTTTATGCATGTTTCAAATAATTTATCTTTCTGGCTTATAATATTAGTAATTACATACTTGTCAAAAAAAAATATTAGTTATTACATGAAAAAGCTTGATAGTTTTGTTGCATGGACATGAATTTTGGACTACATTAGACATGGTATATCATGCTTTTCTTGACAATTATACTATGATATCATAATACAAAGGCTGCATTTTAATGTTCAAGATGCATGTATTGGATGTGCTCAAAACAGAAAATTTTATTTCAAATTATGAATACACTTGGAAAGTACAGAGTGATTGATAATCTTTTATGAAATAAATTAACAGAATATGAAGCATATATAGAGAGTGACTGATAATCTTTTGTGAAATAAATTCACAGTTGATGGAACAAAATAAAAGCTAATAATCAAATAAATTAAGAAGAGTAGGAGAGGTTTTATTCCATTTAATAAGATTCTTGCGAACGCATGCTGTTGATAGTTCATCAATATTTAATTCTGGATAAAATATGTGATTATTCCATTAAATGCATTTGGTTATACAATTTGGATATAATTTTAAAGAATAAGTTTCTCTTAAAGTGGAGTTTACTTTTAAGTGATGGAAACATCACAACATTACACACTTTCAAACAGGTATTAAAGGACTTTTCTATTTTCATTCAACACTTGAAGTTCATTCCTACAGATTTTCAGTGCTTATTTAAGTTCATCAAACAACATTGGAAAACAAAGACACGGTGGTTGAAAATTCTCTGATATTTGATGAAGATTTTTTTTGGAGTTGTTAAATTACTAGTGTGGCTAGTGAAATAGACCCAATCGAGTGCTTAGAGCGGATGCCATGGAGCTTATTTTCTGTCTATTATTCTTGTTCAATTACCATCATATCCTTAAGCTACCATGCCTAACAAAGGAAAATGAAACTTGCAAAAGGTCCCAAAACATGCCGAAACACCCTGAAACGCCTGCAACAATACAAAAGTCCGGAAGTTTTTCTAAAATGAAATAAGTGTAGTTTGTCGTTTTTTATTTAGTAAAATGAAACGTTTTGGCCTACTTCACCCAACACGAGATGGATTTTATAAATATAGCTGTGTAGGACACATTTAAGTTGTTACTATTGTTACACTTTGCCATAGGTTACAGCATTTATAAACCTGCTGTAGTTGTGTAGGAAACATGTATTCTGCAACAAGGTGTATGCATTATAAATGTACTGTAAGTTGCTATTTTTCAATTCAACTCCACCTTCGCCTGCATTTTTAGCTTCTTCGTCCTGGATAGTTGCTGGGTGTTGTTTTCTCTTAAATGCAATTCAAAGTTGAAATCCAAAACATTGCACATAGCTGATGGTTATTATCATTATTGTTAGATATATATTCCTTGGTTTCTGTTGCTGAACTTGAGTTATTAACTGACAGATTACTAGTTTATGCATTTGCTAACAGAGAGAATTGCAGTCTTTCATTTCCTCGTAGAGTCTTTGTTCCTTGGTTGGCGGGTACATATATCTGTGATTACTTGCAGCCATCTGAGACACTTGAGGTTTGTAATCACAACTTAATGAGCAAAACATCTTGTCATCTGCTTTATAGGAATGGAACATTAGAAGCTAAACATTATTGCATGCTGTTCTTGTAGACTTTATAAAGCTAGTTGAAGGAATGAATAGTCCATTACACTTGAGCAAACATATCATTAGTAATTTATTTTTACCATCATATATGGTATGCTCATTGTTCTGTACCTTCTATCAGCACTAGAAAGTACATGGCAGAAATTAATGGATATGTTTCATGCCTTTTCCACCCCAGATTACACACTAGTATTTTGATTGATCTCATTCAACAACGATCACACTTGTTTATAATAGTAATAATGACAGTGATCATTTATCAGCCTTTCTGACCACCATTGGCGTTAATTGTTGCGACTTCTGTAAAGTTGCAACTTTCCCCTCCTTTTAGAGTTAAAGGTATTAGAATTGTATGGTTACTGTGACCTCACAGAGCTAGCTTTTAACTTTTTAAGTAACCAAAAAAGAATGTAGTAATTAAATCTATTTTTTCCTCCTGGGCTAGTAAATTAAATCTTATTTTGTAAAATATTTGACTTGCCTTTCAGGATGAATAAATTATAATTGGACTCCCATCATTAATGTAGTTGTTCTGAGAATAATAGCATTTATTTTATCGCTGATTTTGCATCTTATGTGCACCGGGTTCTCAAAGATCACTGTGTTGAGTTGATGGCCATGGAAGCTACGACAGATGCTTCAACAATCCTGGAACCAGAAATAGTAGCCCGCACTTTGTCCGCCGAATCCTTTTGGGATTTGGCAGTTCCCTTCTCCTCAACATCTAGTCGGGATTGCTCGACTTCAAAGAAGAGCATAACTGATACAAGCAAGGGAAGTGAGAGGAAGTCTATGAAGTCCCCTGATTTTAATATCATGGCTGCCATTGTAACTCTTATCCTTTCTATTTAATAGGATGGGTGCTGTTTGTAGTTAGGGCATCATAGTTTACAAGTAGGATGGGTGCTGTTTGTAGTTAGGGCATCATAGTTTACAAGTGAAGATTCATCTGGGAGTTTGTTTAGTTCTTCAATTATTATTATTATTATTTTCTATAAGCTCATGTATGTGTACATTTCACACTGTTAATAAGATTAATATAAAAACAATTCCTTACTTCCTCTGAACACTGAACTCTTGGCAACCACACGATCAGACCCTTCCAGTTCTTCACATTTAACCAATTTATATAGGTGCTTTTGGTGATGCCTGTGAAATTTGTGATTGTGTTGAGACCAGTTTGATTCAAATGCACTACATGACAGCCTACAGCTATACGCATGCATTTACTGATTCACTCTATATATTTCCTAATTGATAAACACGCACACATGCCTCTATCGAGGCTTGAACCTGAACTCCTTTTAGGAGGTAAGAGCGCCTCTATCGAGGCTTGAACCTGAACTCCTTTTAAGAGGTAAGAGCTTGATACTGCTAGACCGCTGGTCCGTTGGTCGCTCTTAATGATCATCCATGCATACGTTTTGTTCTTTAATCGTCACAATGAAAAACCAGAAGCTTTACTACATCATCTTTCATGTTTATAGAAAGCATGTAATTTCACTATCCAGATTCCAATTTCTGTGGATACACGGTAATGAATTCTCAAAAAGTGGAACAAACAAATTAACAATCCGAAATCCAGGTGACCCTTAAGGGCACAGCCTTTTAATTCATATAGTAGTGTACTAAGACACATAGGTTGATAAAATGCTAACCATGTCATCATCTAAAAGAATCGAATACCATATTACTTTTACATGCCTTTTTTATCCAACCTTATAAATAAAAAAATTTGGAAATGCCTAAAGAAAATGGCATTCATATTATAAGATGGAACTATGGCAGCAGATTATTTTGGAGAGGTATATCATGACGAATATCAGCTCCAGAATCACTATTTCCCACCATTACCAAAGATGTTTATTTAGTCACATCACCATCTGGATACTTCTCATTCGCGACATCACTTGGAAGATCGGGTCCACAAGGAATTTTCCCAGGATAATCAGTTGTTGAAGAATCCGACCCTATCATACTGCAGAATGGGAGAAAATAAGTGAAGTGTCATGAAGAAAAGAAAGGAGCAAATTCTCTAGATTTTCCAATGACGTACCTTCTGTCAACAAGGACCAGTGACCGAAGTTCACAATTAGCAAAGCTGAACAAAAAGAATGCGGAAAACATACAATTAGCTATACAGACTGATGATTTTCAGTGTTCATGCAAATGAATAATGTGTGTTGATTGATTCATTACCCTCTGTACACGGGCTTCGTTTTATACCTATTGAAAACTGGGGCAACCAGCCAAAAACGGTTTTTACCGTCGAGTGATAATGACAAATAGCCAAGCTAAAATAAAATGAATGACAAATTCTGCCACAAATTGCAGAAAAGGAAATTCCAAGTTTGGGATTTATTTAGATCTATGCATAGATCAAAAGATTCCGAAAGTGAAGATGGTGAGAAAGGGCCAAATTGGTCCCACCAATTAAGAAATGATATATCCATTATCCATTCAAAACCATTGGAGGAACTTCGTAACATTTGATTTATGTGAGTAAGTGTTGTTGTTTGATAACATGCGGATTGATCAAGATATGGCCTCAGACAGAGCGGAATGGAAACATAGGATTCATATAGCCTCTGCTCAATTATCAGTGGATGGTATGGTATTTAGTATAAATAAAAAGTTTTTTCACACTCAATTCTTTAAAGATGAAACAACAGTACTAGACAACTTTTTGTGGCCAAAGAGGAATACTTAAAAGAAAAATTTTCAGAATTTTTTCTTAAAACAACGAGAAAAAAGAAATGCATATCTGAACTTGAATTGACTATTTTCAAGGCTAGTTGGTTGTTAGTGTTTGGATGAGATCAGCCAGCACATATATCCAGTTATTCAGTATCAATTGAAACTAAAGAAGCCAACAGAACACTTACTTTTTGCACATTTCACTCTTCACCAAAGGATGACAATCTTTTCCAAATGCACTTAGCGTATGAATCAAGAACCCACTGTGGGTAACAACTGCGATCTCCTTCTCTTTCCTTGTCCACAACCTAGACCACATTTTCCAAAAAAATAAATATTAAGACAACAGGAAAGAAAAATTGCAAAGGATCCCGTCACAGACTCACAGCCCTCATTTGCCGTTAAACAAGTAGCCAATGGGTGTAATAAATGTCTAGGCACATATTATTCAACAGAAATTACAGTAAGGCAATACATGGAAACAAAAAAAAAAAAAAAAAAGGAAAGAAAGATACGGCAAAAGGAAATGCAAGGGATCGGGCGAAAGTGTGCCACCAGACAAGTTAAATATGTAAGACAGCATTTGATGTTCCAAAACCTAAAATTCCGTTTGATTCTCCATAGCAATTGAAGGCCCAATATAGTCACAGAATGATGTTAAAAAAAAAGTTGGAACTTCTATAGCAATGATATATTTTATAATGTAATTAACGAATTAGACTGTTTCATATGCCATCTAATACTTGACTAAATATTTCAATTTAATGAACAACCAACTGCTAAGAATATAAAAGAAAATTGCAATGTAAACTCAACCTATGCAATGGAAGCTGGGATTTAATAAGTCAGTTAATGCAATACAAAACCACAAACCAGTTATGACATCCTGTAACTCATTTATGTCACCCATACATCTTCAGAGTGACTTTAGGTAAAGGTTTAGCTAAAAAATAAAAATAAAAATCAATATTTCAGATCCATGTTAGAACTTGTGTTTAAGTACGGTCAAGCTGTTTTGTCTTTCCTGAGATTGATAAAACCAATTTCAAGAATTGAGCACTTGATATATGTCTTGCAATAACTTTCAGTCCTACACATTTTGGTGCAATAGATAAGCCATTACCAGTTCAAAAACTTCATTCCCCTGGCAGCAAGATCCTCATTTTTCTCTCTAACGTCAGCCTTCCACAAAATGTCAGCATCGCTTTCTATCTAAACAAAATTCAATTATTATATGAAAAATGATTTCCAACAACCAGAGCATGTTCCAACTGACTGAAGATAATAATTAAAAATAAAAATAAAATTAAGTCGAGACCAATTGTTAGCAGATTAAATAACAATTATGGACAAGTACTTGCCAGTGAATAATCAATTGCAGGGAAAAGAGACTTATACTCGCTAATGCTTCTCCTCTTATCACATGGATGAACTCCCTGCATTAAAACGACAACATTAAATTAGCTATTCAAGGATTTAGGTGTCAATTAAGAAAGGAAAAAGAGTGAGATCAGAAGACTGAGAACTTCTATTTATTACGTGTTCCACTTATTTCTTTATGTGAGAAATTGGATATCAGGAACTGTGTGCTGAGGTCAATAGTATATAACAATTCTTGTTTCTGTCATACAAGTACTGCAATGAAAAGGTCCTGCATGATATGCAGCACTTACATATATTCACATGCTGCATGGCAGCATAGACATAGCTTAATGATGTACTTGGCTTTACTTAACCAAACCAACAGTAATTTTAAAAGTGTGTTAGAATTATAAAAATAAAAATAAAAAATGAAAACCACAAATACCATTTTAACAGCACCAAGAAACGACTATCTAAAGCAAATAAGCATATATTTGTTTAATGGGAAAAAAGAAATAAAAAACACTGTCAATTACAATTATACCATTCATATAATTGCTTTCAATGTCTATAACATACAACTGCAGTGACTGCTTGGAGATTGGAAGCATTCAATAGAACTATTTTGAGATGTTAAAAAGAGTAGGCAATTTTACTCTCCACACCAACACAGAGAGAGAGAGAGAGAGAACACGTTTGTCAAGTCTACAAACATCAACAAAATCTACAAGTACTAGTACTTCTGCAAAATTCAACTTTGATGCTATAAAGAAATACATTCACAGCCTTCTACAGAACTACACATTCACACTCAAGTGACTCAACACCACAAACAATAGGTTTTATATAAACTCTTAAATTATTTCTATTACATATATTTTCCAAATTTGTAGTAAGTTGATTTATCAACATTTTTAAAAATTTACCATAATTGAAAACTAGGGAACTAATCATTGACTTGACATTCCTGACAAAAATCTAAAGTTTTCATCTTGGATATCCAACAATTCACCAACAAGAATTTCTTCTTGGGCCGAGAGATGGAGAGGTTGCATGTTAGGTATAAATATAAACACACAAACACACACACACACACACATAACTGGCATTGATATTGAATAAGATCAACAAATCCAGATGCAGAAACTAGTTAATCTTCCACTTTTAGGATTAACATAGAATGAATAATTCGGGCATGTGAAAAAAGGAAAATGGTATACTGCTAGTGCTATGGGTTTGAATCTAAGAGAAATTCTTGAAAAATCAAACATTAAAAAGAAATACATAACTTTACAGAGAAGTAGAATTGAATTCTATCTAATGAAAGAATGATGACCCTTATATTTCTTTTTGGTAAGTGACAACCCTTATATTACACAACAACTTGTGTAGAAATTATAGTCATGAATACCAAACAAGAAGTTGATTGAAAATTGAAAGCAAGTCTTATTTTTTTTTATTCAAACTCAAAACTAGAGTTTTATTTTTAAATTTTATGAAGAGATATGTTAAGCCATTGATCAAATATCCAAAACACGCGATATTTGATGTGCACCATATAAGAACCACATAAGTAGTTTGTGAGCGATATTCTTTTTTAATAAGTTAGAGATACCGATTCTTACACGTAGGTTATAGCTCATTTTAATATTCTAAATGTCTAATAGTATTAAAAATATTGAGAATCAAAAATAAATATTTTTTAAGAGATATGACAGGTCTTCCAACCTCAATTGCCGACTCCTCCGAATACAACGTGGTTGAATCACGTTGGAACTCTTTAAAAAAAATCCCGTAAACATCTCTCTCTTCGACTCATTCCCAACCACATTGTATTCGGAGGAGGAGTCGGCAATTGAGGTCGGAAGACCTATCACTTCTCATTTTTTAATTCTAAAATTTTCTTTCTTTTTCTTCCTTTTGGCAATAATTTTGAATTCTCATTATTCCAAATTTGAAACATCACCAACTAATTGTCTAGAAGTTGTATGTCAACAAGTCAAAGGACATTAACAGTGTCTAACTGAACTTCAAAAAGGAAAAATAGAGGATTCAAAGATTATTGTTATCTTTAGTTATAATGCCATTCCTCCCATCCTTTTGGCCATCCACTTGCAGGCCATTCAACTAGAATCAAATCAGTCTTACCAATTGGAGTTCTGTTCCACATCTGATGCCATCCTATCTAATTTAAATCTAAAACATGTCTTCATCAACACACTATAAGCACCATCCTAAACTGATGCCTCAAGTAACAAGACATCTCTCAACAGGTAACGTCCCCACACTAACTATTCCAGTGAGAACTTCAGGACATCAACAAAAGGAGGTAATCAAAGGGAAAATACAACATACATCAAGGGGAAGACTAACAATATCAAGAGTTGTTTAGTTCATTTCTTTTTGTGTAATCTACTTTTGGGTGGGTATCTTCAGGCCACACATACAGCTGAATAAGGGGGTATTTGAAATTTTCATTTCACGAGTTCACAAGTTTTATACATGATTAAAAAAATAAATATTCCACGCAATTTCATAACCTTTATTAAACGCTACATACCAAATGTTCTCTGCAAAGCTCCACTGCTATGAACGGTGGGCAATTTAGACTTGAAATTGCAGGATGGTCACTATACCCAGCATTTGCCACCATTAGTGGAGGTACATCTATCCCATCTGTGTAACCTTCACCTCCAAAAACTCCAACAGCCGTTTGCATGGTCCTACAATGAAGCCATAATCATAACCTATATTACACCACTTCAGGCAATTGAAACATGTAAAATCCATCAAAAGACTGCAATGAGTAAAAGAGCAGCCAAAGAAAGTGATTCATACTAAAGACTCAACCTATTCCACTTTGCAAAAATAAAAAAATAAAAACTAGAAAAAAAACATTGGTCGGATTAAATTATAAAAAATGAATTATTGAAAAGATTATTCCTTCAAAAGCATTCTACAATTTAACAATATAAATTGAGCATGAAATTTACAGTTTTCTTAAAAAGTAAACGATAACTTATAAAAAAATATCAGAACAAGAAAACATGAAGAAGGTATACAAGACCCTCTTGCCAAAGAACAAAAAAAAGTGTAACATTTGACTTTTTTTTTAAATAAAAATTCGCAATGGTATCACAATATTCCAGCAAAGAAATGAATAACATTAATAGAAAACACCATCATACAAACAAAAAAATCTTTCAAATTTACACAGGCAGACACAGGTAGCTCCCCATCCAAATGTTATACATTTAGACACAAATTATAGGTTAATCGCATTAAACTAACACGATTAATTAAATGGATCTAATCTGGTTAAACGGGTAGAGCCCCAAAACACAAACATGACACGATTAATTAAATGGATAAATGAGTTGATATGAACATGATTAAGGTCAGCTCAAGCATGTTAATTTCTTGTCGTGTTTGGGTCGTGTTGGCGGGATCATATCGAATTTTGCCACCCCTAGGAGCACCTTTCAGTTTGAAGGAAATCAAAAGTTGGCAGCTTTTGCATGCTAATTCCTTTTAGTTTCAAGTAAATTGCAATCTATTAGTATGCACTTGTTTAGATCAGTTGTCATGGCTTGAGCAGCAGATTCAGTCCAATTTAATAATATAAAAAGTGAATCAGCAAGTTAGTTAAGATGTTTGTAACATGATATATGGTACAATGTCAATCTTCCTCTATTCATAATGCATTTAATCACTTACCAAAATTATAGATAAAGATTGAAAATTGTTGGAATGGGCTATTTTTATCTTCTGATACTCTATACATACTACTGCTGCTTTTTACCATTTGATCATGAATCGCTTTCCCCAACTCACTTCAATTCTGTAGTTACAGCACAGCATCTCACTTTTGGCTAAGCAAACAGCTAACTGCTTGGCTTAACTCACTTGGTTCAGTTCATTGCAAATCTTAATTACAATGTAAAAGATTCAACAAGAATCAGAAATTGTGACAGTTAATACCTTAACAATGGGGAGGCGATGACTAGTTCAATTTTCTTGGAAAGTCCTGTTGATTTGACATGCTTGCGCAGATTATCAACCTGTAACAATACCACAAAGCTATTATGAAACAATATTTTTTCAATAAAAAGGGAATATTTGAGTCAAGAATATACCACACGAAAAATAGAAAAAACAAAAAACAGGGTTCAGCAAAATTTCTCAGTAAATTCTCTTTGATTAAAAGATGTTTCTACTAAGGACAATATTTGAATAATGTTATAAGATTAACAAAGTGAAGTAGACCATATCAGACTGAGTACCTGCTGCCAGCCAAGAGGGGTAAGTTGTGCATCCATAAGCTCCTCAGACAAGTATGCTTTGTGGTCTTTTTCACCTTCTACATTGTGAATTCCTTGTGCATGCCTCACCTATATGTATTATTTATCAGAACCAAAATTCCTTTGGCAATGCAAATTTTAACGCAAGAACGAGCATCGAGATAAACTATGTTTCAGCGTCAAGTCCACAAACTGCAAGATTTGTTCTACCATTCAAAACAGAAATGAGAATTAAGATACAAAATTGGAACGGACCAGGTGAATAGTTTTACAGCGGTGCAGCGGGTACAAACTTGGTCCTGCAGTGACATCCATGTCTGCATGTGACATAAAAGAAATAATAGGTTATTAAGAAGGTAACAAATGAGCAGCTTTGGACAATGCTAAGTAGATGAAGGAATCATGACATTAGCATTAAAAAGGAAATAACCACACATCCGAATTTCAGGTTCAGAGAAAAAAAAATATATAAATGAATTCCTTAAAGAGGGTGCTAGAAGGAAATATTAGAAGGCAAAGTAAGTGATATATGAGGTTTAAAAGCATGCATTTAGACCATGAAAGAATATGATAGCTGAGAATACAAAGGTCTAACCCGAAGACTTAAGATAAAAAGAAAAAGATTTATGTGAATTAACTTTGTGCATGAGCAAAAAAATTATCACGGTGCATTTAAGGAAATCCAACCAAATTGCAATGTTCAAAAATCTAGAATATATATGTAATACAACAACAATTCAGAATAACAAACCAGTTTGTTCAAGATGGCAAGTGGATTATGTAAAAGCTCCACAAAATACTAATATATATATATATATATATACACTCATACATACATACATACATACATACACATTTATACAAAATCAAATGCATTTTACTAAGAAATACAAGAGTTCTTTGTCACTTAAGCAACATAACCAAGATCATGCTACATGATATAGAAACTAGCACAAAAAAGTCGAAGGAATCCCCATATTGCCAACACATTCCAATTAGAAAAGCAAAACGAACCTCATTTCAAAATAATTAATATCAAAGTCACTAAAAATCAAAATTGATCCAACCAATCAATTATAAACTTCCACCAAATTTCAAAATTATAAACCAATAGAACAGATCAATAAATAAAAATACACAGGCATATAAATATATATATATATATATATATATATATATAGAGGGAGAGAGAGAGAGAGAGATTAGGAAGTGTTACCAGAAAGAGAATAGGAACAGAGAACAGAGAACAGAGAGACGAAGAATTGGTGGTGTGGGTTTAAAATAAGAGGGAAGTTGGAGTTCTAATGCAATGGGGTTGAGGTTGAAAATGCCAAAATGGTACTATAAATATTAGGGGTGGTTATACTTATTAATGGAAAAGAGTTAATGCAATTTGTCATTGTAAGACACTAGCGTGCGCCATGTGTTAATTGGTCCCTCAACATACATAAGGGTCCAAGTCCATTATGTATGTGTGTGTGTGTATATATTAGCAATTTGATCATCTCATGTGCATTGGACAGTTCAGCATATATGAGATCACTCTTGATATATAGTGGACCCCACTACCTGTGGGTGATTTCCACCCTCCCAGTGCACTGGATCGTCTAGTGCGAAAAGGATCTGGATTCATAAATCAGGACCAACGTTAGAAGACCTGTGAGATCTATCTAACAGGATTTGGATTCTTTCTAACAGTTTTTCTCTTCTAGCATCTTCAATGTTTTGGATGTTAATTTTTACGTAGAGGGTGGGCCTTCTTAATTGGCAAATCACCAAACCATTGGACCAGTCATACAAGTCAAGCGGATCAAGTTTTTAAGTCGACAAAAATGGGTGTGGGAGCTTCTTGCCAAAGTTTATAAATTGAGGATGGATTTCCTAGTTAATTTTAATAGTTCAATTGTGAGTGAGTTACTTTAAATGAACCTGATATAATCACAATTGTTGCTTCTAATTTTCAAATTCACTGACCCAAATGGATCCACAAAAGTCCGAGCTAGAGCCTAGAATTACCACATCATTGCAGGCCGAATTTTTACAAGTCTAAGAAAATGATAATCTGTCTCCCCTTTGTGTGCACTCTGGTGGAGTTTCTCTTTGGTACACTCTCTTTGGAGACACTATTCAAATAAGAAATGAACTATAGGGTCTATTCCTCAATATTTATTGCGTGAATGTCATGGATGCTTTTATTTAAATATATTTGAATTAAGATGCAGTTTATTTTACGCAATCCGAGTTATTTAAAATTTCAATGAAAGTAGGCTACTGATGGTTTTGTAGCCTATTGATTAGGATGGTGAATTATTAGTAAATTGGTTTGTGTTAAAGATGAGTCGAGATTTGTACTTGAGGTTTGGTAGAGAGGAGAAGAATGGAAAAACTTCTAAGTAGTAAAAAATCAATATGGTAAATATATAATCACACTTGTTGCATGCCTTGTTGGTCACGTAGAAGCAGTGGGCTAGAATTACATTGTCAAAACTCTTAACAATATATGACCATGTTTACTTTATTGTGAAACTCTGTTTTTGAAGTTTTTTTATTTTGAATTAGATCAGTGACTAAAATTTTATATGCAAATACAATTCCACTAGCAAATGCTAGTTGCATCTTGCAAAACATTACTAAACTCATCACTATAAACTAGACGATCTAGATATATATAGTGAATCAGCTCAACTAATACTAACGAGTATAATAATTTGGTTCAACAATATAGTTGGCATCAACTAAGAAAAAATATATATATAGTTGGCATCATAAATTATGGGCACATCATTTTGCAAAAATAAGCTAAAACCACAAAACCATTGTGTCTTTTTTGGGTTCATATCAAGCCTTAGAAGATAATTTCAAAAGGGATTAACACTGAAAATGAAATTGACGACTAACTACCACTTAACCTCAATTTAGAAAGCAATTGATGGGAATGGTGACTAGCTAGCTACCACTTAACCTAAAAATGAAATTGATGAGTAGGTACCACTTAACCTCAGTTTTCAGAAAGAAATTAATGGGATGGTGGTTAGGATCATTCAATCATATTATTTTTTAGTTAAAATCTGATTTGGACAAACCATAGTGCGGCCACGTCCTTTTTGTGTGCCTGTCATCATCATCAATGCTAATCTTGCCATAATCAAACTCCGACATTTTTTATATAACAAAATTTGGGTCATAGCAAATCATTGTGCATTTAAGGAAATCATGGTGCATTTAAGAAAATCCTATCAAATGGCAATCTTCATAAAAGAAGGAAATCCTCTTACAGATTCAGAATAACAAACCAGTATATATGTTCAAGATGGCAAGTGGATTATGTAAAAGCTCCACAAACTACAAATATATATATATATATACATACAGACAGACACATTTATACAAAATCACATGCATTTTAGAAAGAAATGAGATACTTCTTCGTCGCTCTAAGAAGAACAAATCCAGAATTAGGCAACAAAACCGAGATCAAGGTAAATGATAACCACGGAATGGTCACACATTCCAATTAGAAAGGCAAAACAAACCTCATTTCAAAACAATCCAAGATCAGAATTATCTACAAATCAAAATCGTTCGAAATCACAAAGTTCAACCAAGTTTCAAAATTACAAACCAATAGCACAGATCAATATATAAAAACACATAGACACACACATGTATACGCGAGCACGGATAGATATATATATAGATATAGATATTTGTAGAGAGAGAGAGAGAGAGAGATTAGGAAATGTTACCTGAGAGAGAAGAGGAACAGAGAGGAGAGAGACGAAGGATTGGTGGTGTAGGTTTAAAACAAGTGGGAAGTTGGAAAATGGAACTACTGCTATAACAAGTAGTATCAGGAGGGTTGCTGATACTTATTAATGATGGAATGCAACTTGTCATTTTGAGACGCTGGCGTGAGCCGTGTGCTAACTCTCTCTCCCTAACTATCCAAGTTTTGCAAATTTGTTTATTGGGGGGCTCGGGGCTTCAACAATCTAAGGCCTTGTGAGACGTGGAACTCTCTCTCTCTCTCTCTCTCTCTCTAACTATCTCATGGAACAATGGCAGCAGAAAGTTGAAGGAGTTTTGTCTTTCCTTCCACATTCACTGCTTTGGACCACACGAGAGAGTCCAGGTGGCGATTTGGCTTTTAAGTGTTTTTTTTTTTTTTTTTTTTTGGGAGGAAAACGTAGTGCATCAGCCAACCTGTGAGTGGATCCGGTGCGGTGCAGTGTTGCATCGGACGGCTGCAGTATTGCATGGACGGCTGCGATCGTACTTTTCTCATCACGTTTTACTTTTTTTTGATAGAGAAAATCAAGATATTTACATGTGAATAAATTTGTCGGTAGGATGTCCTTTCGGTATATGCACTTTTTCTCCAAACTTATTTCACCAATAATATATATATATATATATATATATTTAAAAAGGCCCCCGAAATCGGGACGGGTATGAAGAGTCCCGATATACATTTTTTTAAGCAAAAACAATTCAGATTTAAACAAGTTTAAGATAAATTTTGTAAATTCTTTTTAGTATAATCAAATATTTAATAATTATAATAACAAATTTATTGTTAAAATTTAAATTGATTGTAAGAAATAAAAAAATATAATATAAAATATATAATACTTACTAAACAGGGCAGGTTTGGAACCCTGCGCAACCCGTCCCAATAGGTGCAGATTAAATTGACATTATACTTGTAGAAGCATTTTAAAAAATGGTAAGTGTCAATTTGCAAAGCATAAAATATTTACATAGTGTGAAGTGGGTTATGACAAATTATATCAGTCATTCCCCAATAAAAAAATGAGAGACGCGCACAAGTTCATACCGGTCAGACCAACGAGGACACTGAATCCCAACAGAGGTGAACCCGAAAAAGAAGAATGTGCAAAATCGACGTGTTAGGTAGGTCGTGACAATGCATTACAAAAGTATAAAAGATCCAAATCCCATAAGAAATAGGCTGTAAATCTATACCTTATATAGGAATAATTTGATTAAGTACATAGGATTACCAAAGTCCAATGCTATTTTTTCACATTTAAAAATAAAAATTGAAAATTTTAACATTTTAAAATCATAAAGTGGTACGTGTGTTTCTCTTGCCAAAAGTAGAAAATAATAAAGAAAAAAAAAATCATATCATTAAAAATATAATTCATTTCCTTCTTTGACCGTTTGACTAGTATGAGAGTTATTTGCCAAAGTTGTACCAATTTTTTTTGGCATAATGTGAAAAAGTTAATTTTTTTATTATGTTATTTTTTAATGTTCTTAGGAGAATATTAGTATTAATTTAAGTTTATTTTTGCATGTGGAAAAGAAACATATTCATAGTTTTATGCCGTAAAGTGTATATAAGATATTCTAATTGAGAATCTTCATGAGCATACTCATAGATTATTCCAAAAGCATATAGGAAAAATACAATACAAGCATATGGAATTTGTCAGCTTAGCTTAGCTTAGCTTAGCCTTCCCAAATAATGTTGGAGGACATGCATTCACTTTTGTAACCTAAAAAGTACCGCTACTTTAGGAAGAAATCATGGCTCACTCTTCAAAGTTAAACACATGCTATATATATTTCAATATACGTATTTATGAATAAAAATTAATTTTTTATTATTTCGTCAACACTTAAGATCAATATTTCTAAAGTGTTGAATTTTTTCTTTTAAAAAAATTGACATTATATATATATATATATATATATATGTGATCACAAGTGAATCATGCGGAATATCGATATATGTAATATAAAAATTATTACAATAATAACATAATTTTATTTTTAAAATTATTTCAGAGTAAGTCTTAATATATATATTAAAAATGAATTAAAATTATATAATAATATTACTCAATATATTTATATAAAAAAATAAAAAAAATCGCATATCCACCTATCTATGTGTATCGAAAACTATATATTGCAATTGGCAAATATATAATAAAATAAATTATTGTCAGTAATGATTTTTTTATTTTTTCCCGAAATTATCACACCAACGTAAAAACATTTGATATCGGCGCTGAGATGGGCCCGCTCTGAATTTTTTGGGCCTGTTGGGTTGGGTGGCTTAAAATGTTGAGCCCATACAACAATGCTACTTTCTCAGCCCATAAGTCAAGTTTAGGCTTCGTTAATGAGGTTTAGAAAAATGTTGGGCCTATACCTCAATGCCACATGCATCTTCCCCCAGCAGTTTTGCTTCCTAAAGTGCTATACATACTTCGCATAGATAGTCCTCTAGTGACATTTATCATTGGACCCAATTACTTGTAAATTGCAAAATCTCAAACCATTAAAGGTTAAAATGGTCATATGAAAACCTGTAATCAAGAAGGTGAGGGTAGCTGTTACAAAAGGAGTCTTGTCCTCGGATATAAAATGTAATAGATATAAATGGATTGAATGTGTAGCCCCACCTAATAATTTAAATTTTTGGGTCGAATTTCAAAGCACTCGTCCTATTACAATTGGTATCAAAGACAGACTCAATCCTTAATTCGATATCACGCCAAGTTCTCCCGGAACACTTATAATATCAACTTATATATATATATAACAATAATAATTTGTTTTTGTTCTCTCCCATCAAAATAAATTTAAAAAAAAAAAAAAGGAATTTTCTATATTTAAATTTAGAAACTTGTTTATTTTATTATTATATTATTTTTGGGCTCATGTGCATACATGATTTATTTCATTAAGCCTAATCAACATAATTATTTTCAGTGTTACAAGCAAGGGCGGAGCCCTTTGTGGGCCAGTCCAGGTCCAAAAATATATATATTTTTTACTACTACTACTACTACTTCCTACCAGCTGTAGCCCAACCTAAGTTGCCCAATCCATGGTAAATAGCCCAGCCCACTAGCCCAACAAACCAAAACTAATCCTAGAAGAAGACCTAAGTACCTAACCATTCAAGGCAAATACAGATTCTGGAAACATATACACGCTCAGCCGAGACTCTTTATTGGGTATTTGGGTGGAAAGAAACACTAGTATACAAGGGTGGAGCCAGGATTTCAAAGTAGGCAGGGCTAAAGATAAAAAAATTTGAAGAGTACAATAATTCTTATGACAAAAATATGTTATATATATTTAAAAAAAAAACAACAACGATGATGCTCTCATAAATTAAATCAACTACATCATATGCAGCAAGTAACCTGCTGAAGATGAACCCTCCGATCTTTAAGAGAGTCAAATTCATTAACTACTGAATCTATATCAATATCTTCAGCAAGTTCTCTTTCAATGTTGAGAATCATGCAATCTGCAAGAAATTCATCAGCCATCTTGTTGCAAAGTTTAGTTTTGACACGCTTCATTGCTGAAAAAGCTCGTTCTGTTGTTGCTGTAGAAACAAAAAGAGTCAATATGAGACGAATCAATCTATCAATCAGATAATAAGTCTCTCTCTTTCTTGTTTTAGCTAGCATTTTGCATAAATCAGAAATGGTGGACAAATTCTGAAAACTCGGATGATGGAGTACATCAATCTTATAATGTTCCAACTGGCTTTTCAAAGCATGCATCTCATCTTGAAAATCCTTAGGATAAAATTTCTTTGCAAGATCGCAAATATCATCAACTTTAAATGATTTATAAACATCTTTAGGATCCAAAGTTGTGCCAAGAATAAGGAGTTCCACTGTACTTTCAGAGAATCTCTGATTTAACTCCATCAATTGAAAATCTACAGCAGCATTAAAAATATCAACTTGATAGTGATGATTAAATGTAATACTATCATTTTGTTGACAAGAACGACCTGTACCCACCATATAAGAAGCACTCATATCAAGTACTACAATGTCATGTTTTTTACAAAATGATTCCACATTTTGAAAGAAAGTATGCCACCCATTTTCTCTCAAATTTTGAAGGAGTGCATTCGAACTTGAAACTAGGTTCATAGCATTTACAATGTCTTGAGTTTTTTGTTGTAGTGCTTGACAAAGTATATTAATAATTTCCATTATCTCACACAACAAATGCAAGATAAATACAAATTTAAATGGAAACATTGCCAGATAAACGCCTTTTGCTTCCCCACATATAGAATTAGTTGGTCCATTCTTTGAAAGATTTTTAATAATTACACGAGATGGACCAAATAAGTCTATCAAGCTACTAACAGAACCAAAATGAGAGCTCCATGGAGTGGCACCTGCTCGTTGCAAAGTCTTAATCTGATTAGCTCCTTTACCACTCTCAAGTTCACTAGTAGCTAATTTATTAGTAGATAAAATCACTTGAGTTGATTGTAACTCGCTATGACGCTTAGGAGAAGCACTGACAAGATTGACAATAGAATTCAACTTTAAAAAGAATAGCCATATATCTTGCACATCTTTGGATTCAACAACTAATGCTAGTTGTAGTTGGTGAGCAAAGCAGTGTACATAATATGCATATAGATATTCTTTAAGAAACAATGCTTGTAATCCATTCCACGCCCCACGCATATTGCTCACTCCATCATACCCTTGGCCTCGCATATTATCAATTTGGAGATCATAAAGAGTAAGGACATTTGATATTTATTTTTTAAGAGTTAAGGCAGTGGTGCCTTTAATGCCTACAACTCCAAAAAATCGTTATTTAAGCAAACCATTCTTATCAACAAATCTCAATACAATGGCCATTTGCTCTGTATTAGACAAATCTTGTACTTCATCAACCAAAATACAAAATTTTGCATCCCCAACTTCTTCACGAATCTTACGTCTCACCCTATTGCCAAGAATATGTAAAACCTCTTTTTGAACCATTAGCGAGAGGTACTTTGCATTTTTTGGTGCATTTTCTAAGACAACTTCATCAACTTTGTCATTTAACTTTGCTAAATGCTTTATGAATTCAATAAATTTGCCACGATTCAAAGATTCAACGGATTCATCGTGACCTCTAAATGCACATGTTTGGAATGCAAGCCACCGAACACTTTCAATTATTGTCTTAAGGCGTAATCAATTATTTACCACCACATCTCTAGATGATACATTCAACACTCTGTCAATATGTTGCAAATGATTCATTAAAGCATCTGAAGCTCTTACGGCACATAAGTGAAATGAATTAGGACCTCCCACATTTTGCAAAAGAGCACACCTAGGTTCATCATTAACCCTTTTCGAACTATTAAACCCCTCGATAGTAAAAGTAGGACGAGATGGTAGATTAGTTTCAAAGAGAAAACATGACAAACAATATGCTTTATTTTTCTCAGGAGAATACTCAATCCAAGTGAATTTTTTATACCAATTACTTTGAAATCGACGAGATTGAGTTCTATCTTGAGTGGAAGGAAACACATGGAGATTTAGTTGATAAGGTCCCCTTAAGATATAATTTCGTCGAAGCTCAACAGGTTCATTAACGAAGTGTTTCCATATTTGAAGACGCAAGCTAGGAATATTAGTATATTAGAGAAAACATATTGACAGAGTATTGAATGTATCATCTAGAGATGTGGTGGAAAAGAATCGATTACGCCTTAAGACAATAATTGAAAGTGTTCGGTGGCTTGCATTCCAAACATGTGCATTTAGAGGTCACGATAAATCCGTTGAATCTTTGAATCGTGGCAACTTTATTAAATTCATAAAGCATTCAGTAAAGTTAAATGACAAAGTTGCTGAAGTTGTCTTAGAGAATGCACCAAAAAATGCAAAGTACCTCTCGCCAATGGTTCAAAAAGAGGTTTTACATATTCTTGGCAATAGGGTGAGACGTAAGATTCGTGAAGAAGTTGGGTATGTAAAATTTTGTATTTTGGTTGATGAAGCATAAGATTTGTCTAATACAGAGCAAATAACAATTGTATTGATATTTGTTAATAAGAATGGTTTGCTTAAAGAACGATTTTTTAGAGTTGTAGGCGTTAAAGGCACCACTGCCTTAACTTTTAAAAAAGAAATATCAGATGTCCTTACTCTTTATGATCTCCAAATTGATAATATGCGAGGCCAAGGGTATGATGGAGCGAGCAATATGTGTGGGGCGTGGAATGGATTACAAGCGTTGTTTCTTAAAGAATATCCATATGCATGTTATGCACACTACTTTGCTCACTAACTACAACTAACATTAGCTGCTGCATCCAAAGATGTGCACTACTTCTCCTAAGCGTCATAGCGAGTTACAATCAACTCAAGTGATTTTATCTGCTAATAAGTTGGCTACTGGTGAACTTGAAAGTGGTAAATGAGCTAATCAGATTATGTGATACCCCCGGATTTCCGGATGCGGGTTGGCCAGGCCCACGCCCGACTACCCGAGGATATCAAACCAATTAGCAATAATCGAACACAGAATATAATTAAGATAAACATGAGTAAATAAAATTCGCTGGAAAGAAACTAAATGAAAATCCTTTATTAAAAACTTTAGAATAAATCTTATAAATAAGAACTAGTCTGTTACATCTAACTTCTCCAATTATAATACAACTCGGGAATCCATCTGATGGACCCCTAATCAAAAGCCAATACTGGAAAGCGAACAACTAAAAAGAAGTCCACTGCTAAACCATGAAGAACCTCCTACATCGTCGGAAGAATGAGTAGTCGTCTCTGCTCAGCACGAACAAGCTCTAAGACCTGGAACTGTCCGTTACCTGAAAAATAATAGTGGGTCAGGCCCACGAACAAGTTCTATCCTAACTACAATCCAAACAGAGACCCGATACGCAGATACATCCTAAACGTCTCAAACATATCTATATAGTCCGTAATAGATAAATATATATCCACACTACATGACTCTCGCTAACTATGCTGAGGGTCTCAACCTGAATAGAAGGTAACATGCAATACGTACCTGAGTGGGCATGACTACCTAAGCCTAACAGGGTATACCTCAACTATGATACCCCCAGATTTCCGGATGCGGGTTGGCCAGGCCCACGCCCGATTACCCGAGAATATCAAAACAATTAGCAATAATCGAACACAGAATAATTATATCAAAAGAGATAAATAAAATTTGCTGAAATGAAAACTAAAAGAGTAATCCAATATTTGAAAATCTCAGAAAAATAACTCCATTGATAAATAAGATATTTCAGATACAACTGATTCACCACGAACACATATCGTTCTCCAATACAACTCGGGAATCCATCTAGTGGACCCCTAAAATAACTCACTGAACTCAAAAGACGGGAAACAAAACCCAAGTCTACACACAAAATATACTCCTATGTCATCGGTGGAGTGAACAACTGTATCTGCTCAGCACGATCAAGCTCTGCAGCCTGGAACTAACGAACACCTGTAAAGAATAATAGAAGAGTGGGTCAGGCCCATGAGCAAGTTCTAATCTAACTGCAATCCATACAGTGACCCGATACGCAGATACACCGTAGATACCTCACAATATCTATCTAGTCCATACATATATATATCCACACTATGGGACATTGACTGAACTACAATAGGGGTCTCAACCTGAATAGAAGGTAACATGCGAAAACGCACCCAAAGGTGGGCATGAGTACCTAGACCTAACAGGGTACACCTCAACCTACTATAGCTAGCTACGCATCCACTGCATATACGCGTCCTAACCAACGAGTCTGAGACTCAAGCTCATCTCGTGATACCATAATCATATATTTAAAGTCCATTCAAATCCATCCATAGGAACTCCAATAAATCGTTCAGCTTATTCAGCTGCACAGACTTATATAAGGAATCCAATAAGTCATTCAGTTTATTCAACTGCACAGACTTAAAAATAAGGAGAATTATGTTTTTATAATTCGTGCCCTTCTTCCCAAAATAGGTAGGACTGAGTACTCTGAATCAGTCTGTCCCCAGTATGCCACCGTCCCATACCGGTACATACAATCCACAAAATCCATATAACTGATAGAACATGTAAAACTGTTCACCAATTTAAAATCCATAAGGCAGGAATTAGCATTTTAAGCTAAACCATACCTAGTATGCCACCGTCCCATACCGGTACATACAATCCTCCATATCCAGGTAAATTACAAGGCATAAATAATAAGCGCGTAATTTATAGTCCAAAACCAACCATCCACATCGTTGTAGAATAGTATTTAGTATTTCAACAACTTAAAACCAAAACCATGTAATTTACAGACTATGAATGATAGTACAGCAATTTAAAATCCAAAACCAATATCCAATTAATTGCAGAAGATTTTTAAATGTTTCAGCAATTTAAATCCAAGTGTTAAACCATATAGTTGCAAGAAGTAAATAATAATTCAGTAACTAACATCCAGAGAATGCATAGATCACCTCTAATATACCAATGACTCTATCATGCATTTAGAATAAATTCTATAATCATATTATAGTCCAATAAATTACTAAATTAATTTAAGCAATTTAATTCCTTCCATCCAACAACAGGGTACTAAGTTGTATACTTATATTCTGTTTTATCGTTTAGCCAGAACCATGCACTATGCCCTAAGTCCAATCTATTAATTTAAAAGACTTAACTGTGCTTTTAAACTTAATTTAGAATCATTATATAACACCTTAAATTGTCACATTAAAACTAGACAATTAATTTCCTTCCAGCAGTTAACCGACGCGTAGGGGTTGAATAGCACACTATTAATTCCATTAATATAAAGAGGGTATTTTATGCCATTCAAGACCTTAATTACATCTTAGAATAATTATTGAAAACCCCCATTAATGTTTCAAAACTGTTCATGAACCCAAGTGCTCCAACAGTAAAGTTTTTACGCCTTAAAAATAAATCAAAAATGAATTTCAGAAAAGAGCCTGCTCAAAGTTTCTAAGGAGCAGGCTCTCAGAGCCTTTTTTAATGCATGGAGCTGGCTCCATGGATCCTTGGAGCCGGCTCCATGGGAGACGTCTCTCTCCTCCGTGAAGCCGTCTCTTTCCCCCTCTGCAAGCTTCAATCCGTTCCTGCTCTGTTTCAATCCGTTCTCTTCACCTCTGGTATATTCCTAACACTCAATTGGTATTTAAATCTGATCTTGGGAGTTTAATTAACATCCAGTAGCATCCCATTAGTTTGTTACAATATTTGAAATCAAATGCAGAGATTTATACAAAGCCATTAAACTAAGATGATTAAATTACAATACTGAAACTAATTGGTAGGATCAGTTCTAATCTATCCCCTCTGTCCTTCATTACCCCTGAACTTAGGAGTCCTATAACATCCCATTAACATCCCCATAGTTTGTTTACAGTAAACAAAAACAAGTACAGTACACCAAATACAATAGAACTATCATGCTTTAAAGAACGGAACTGGAAACAGTCATGCAAAAATTATATCAGTTTTAATTTCCACACAAACATACCATTAATATAGCATACAATAATATGAAGCTCCAGTTAATGATTTGTTAAATCCTAGAGGCTACCTAGGTGCACAGAACACAAGCCAGAGGGAAGGAGGAAGATCAGAACTTGCCTCTGTAATTGTTGGTTTGCTTTCCTCTGTTCTGGCCACACTGAAATACTGCTTAGCCTCA